AAATAATTTGGGTGTGGTGGTAAACTTCTATAATCCCAGCTATTGTGGGAGGCACAGCCCAGGCAAAAACTACAAGACTCTATCTGAAAAATAACCTAAGCAAAAAATGGTTGGAGGTGTGGCTCAAGTGGTATAGCATCTGCCTACCAAGCTCAAGGCCTTGAGTTCAAACTCTAGTACTTCCCCTCACCCAAAATAATAAAGAAAATAAAGAAAACAAAAACAACAGACAAATCCCAATTGGGAGATACTGTATGGAATATACATATATCTCTAATATATGTAAACACACAGATGATGCAAAGCTGCCAAGATTATCAAAAGCAAGAGAAGTCTGAGAAACTGTCACAATTTAGAGGAGTCGAAGGGGATTTGACAAATAAATGTGACATGATGTCCTGGAAGGAAACCTGGAACAGAAAAAGGCCATTCTTTAGACCTGAGTTAATAAGATGTATCAATCTTGGTTCACTAATGTCACTGTACTAATGTAACATGATGCCAGGTATGTGTAAGGGAACTCTATCTTCGCAACTCTTCTGTAAATGTAAAACTATTCTAAAACTTTTTTAAAGCTTATTTAAAAAAAAACAAACCTACAGATATATCTGGAGCATACACTAAAAAAGTGAGTTTACCATTCAATCAAGCAACCTTCATCAAAACCCAAAAGTCGGTAAGCATGACCCGTAAGCAGCATTTCCACTAGCTTCATTCCTTCTTTTCAAACGTGAACATGGCTAAAGATCAGCAGACACTTGAGAAGTTTACAACACCACAGGTAAAAGAGGAGGAGGATGACAACAGAGAGGAAGAATTAGAAAGAATATAGGAAAGTTTCTGAAAGAAAGCTTAGAATAGAAACCAGTATCAGGATGGGGTTGTGGTTCAGAGCCTGTCTAGCAAGTGAGGACCTAGTTCAAACACTCAGTACCACCCAAAAATAAAAACAAAAACAAAAAACTATAGTATCTTCAAGGAAACACATGATATTGCAACCCTGAGATAAGAACAAGATAATAATCACAAAAAAAAACAAAAAAAGCTGGGTACTGGTGCCTCATGCCTGTCATCCTAGCTAGGGAGGCTGAGATTGGGATTGGAAAGATTGCAGCTAGGGGCCAGCCCAGGCAAATAGTTGTCGAGACCCCCATCTCCAAAAGGACCAGGGCAAAATGGACTGGAGGTTTGGTTCAAGTGAAGCCCCAGTCCCACAAACAATAACAACAAAGGAAATGAAGAAACTAAAAAGGACCTATATAACACTTAAAAACAAACAAACAAAACAGTACTTTTTTATTCCTAGCAGAGTTTTACACTCAAAAATGAATTGAGCCAGATGTCATGGCACACACCTTGTTATCTGAGCACTAGGAAGGCTGAGGGATCAAACACTGGGCCTTGCACTTGCATGATCTCTTGATCTATAGCCCTAGCCCTTATGGAAAGTTTTCATTTCTAAGTGAGATTTGTATTTAATTTATATTACATATTTAAAGTTATGTACAAACAGATCAACATCCATCAGTTTATCAGGGTTTTGTTTTGGTGTTTAAAATAGGCACCATGCAGCCTGGTTGTCCTTCTTCAAGTGCTGAGATCATAGGCACACCCCACTATGTCCGGCCTGAATCAGTTTTAAAAGGGTAATAATGCTAATAAACATTTGAAGAAAATAAAACTGTGGCTGTTACGAAAAAATAAGGCAATTTGGTGAACATTATAATTACTTACGGAATTTTAAAAGTTTTTATAAATATCACAACCTGGGGCTGGTGGAGTGGCTCAAGTGATAGAGTGCCTGACTAGCAAGTATGAGACCCTGAGTTCAAACCCCAGTGCCACAAAAAAAAAATTAAGATCCCAACCTGATTACAGGCATGTGAAAAAAGATCTTCCACTAGGAAATTATCAATTTCTATGTACTTCACAGGTGTGTCAGATAGTGATTCCGAGAAGTCAGGTGGGTTACAAACCTTTCCCAAGCCTCTGTAAGCACGACTTTTGCCAGGACCTACGGTGAATAGAAAACATGTAATATTGAATCTGCAGGCAGATTCTTAAAGAGCCAACTCTGCCCAAATTTGCCAAAAATGCCTTCTGAAATTCAATCTTTAAAGCCTGATCCTACTTCAAAAGTTTTTTCAGCCAGACATGGTAGTACACACTATAGTACTAGCTATTTAATAGGCAGAGGCAGGATGATCTCCAGTTCAAGACCAGCTCAGGCAAAGTTAGTGAGACCCTAACTCAAAAGCAAAAGGGCTGGGGATGTAGCTCAAATGGTAAGAGTATTTGTCTAGCAAGTGCAAGACCCTGGGTTCAATCCCCAGTACCACAAAGAATTTTTTTTCTTCTCCAGCATTTTTTGTCTATAGTCTTTCACCTGCCTCACTGTCTTCAATGACAGAGGTTTGGAAAACAGTAATTGCTCAGAAGCACACTTATAAACATTGCCATTTCTGTACAAGTTTATATATTCTAAGGCTTTGGAAGAGGAGGAAAGTCTTAGCATGATTCATTTGCCTGCCTCTTAGGAAACTACAACTTTTTATTTTATCTTTTTTGTTTGTTTTCATGTCCTTATGGGCCTTTTTTTCTGTTTTTATTAGAATATATTAGTTGTACAGAAGGGTTTCATTATGACATTTGCATATTCATTTTATCTCAAGAGCTAGACACACATAGAATGACTGCATTATAATTAGACTCTGGTCTGGGCATGAGATACTTTGATGGTTTGTAATGATAGTTTTATATATCTGTGATTAACAAAGTCATTTTCAAAGGACCCAGTGCCATTTTGTAGAATTCACTCTTCCACAGATAAAATGTACAAAATGTTGGCGCGATTGGGTATTAATGCTAGCCAGTTAGAGCATATTCTAACCACATTTCACTAAATTACCCAGGTCTGCAGTGAGAGAACCGAGGTCAGTATCTGAGCCTCAGTCCAAACTTCCTGTTGAGGGATGTTCAGCTGAATCCACAATTATCCAAGAAGGGCTTTCAGACAAGTACTTCAAAACCTATTAAAATGCCACAGAAAAAAGAAAACCAGTTTTGTTTTAGAAAAGGGGGAACATGACTATAATTAAATGCACATCTGGAACTCAGTGGCACAGAAACCCATAAAAAAGATGAGTGGCATGTCAAACTCTTATAGAGAAGGAAGACCAGGCTGCTTTCATGGGGACAATTTTTAGCACACTGCAGAGATTTATCCAGGGCCACTCCCATTATATTTTTCCTGCTTTGCTTCCCTGATGTTATCTTGTTTTAGTCTCTTCTACTTAACCACAGTGCCCTCCTGTCCCCAAAAAGGTGAAAGAGTAAACTATTTATCACTGTTTAGCTAACATTCTTCAGCTAAATGTTCCAGCAGCCCTTCCCTTGCAGTACCCCTTCCCCCCACCTCTCTTACCTGGGGCTTTATAAACATTTAACTTGCCCATATTTGTAAGAGCCTTGCCTCAGCATCTTCTCCCAATTAACCAACTCTGGCCTCCAACTGAAGAAAATTCAAGAATTAACAACACTCTTAGTTATATGTCTTATCACTTAGATATAATGGAACCAAATTCATTATCCAATTCAGTTCACGGATATTTCATGGAACCATCTGGCAAGAATGGCTGCCTATTACGGTGTAAGTTGCAGAGAAGAAAGCAAATTCTCTTGGTCCTAGGGATCGATCCCAGAGCCTTGCTTATATAAGCCTTCTACCACTGAGCTATATCCCAAACCCAAAGAATGCAAATTCTAGAAGCTAGAGTTGCCCAAACACAGATTTATCCAAAGAAATTCAGCTTTCCAGGCATTTCACCACCCTTCTACCCACAAGCAAGGGAGAAACAGTGAGTGTGCCTGCTCAGCCTTAATTTCCATGAAATGCAAAGGTCCAAAGAATAAAGACAATCATCACAGTTAAATGAAATGTCATCTTGACTCTGAACTATCAAGGAAAACTGAGAGATGACTATGTTGGCCAATCTGTCTCTGTTCCCTGACCTAATTTGAGCCAGTCAGTCTAATCCAGCAGCTATTCAAGAAATCAGTTCAATTCTCAGAATGAACTAAGGGGTCAATTTACAGACAAAGTGAACCAAACCTTCAGGTTTGTTTAGAAAACACTTGCTGTGGGTCAGCACATCATCCTATTTAACTCCCCACCCCCAACAACTTTAAGAAGTGCAATTTTCCACCTTCAGAGCCAATTCAGAGGCAGAGACCAAGACCAGTGAGGGCAAGGTCAAAAAGCTGCTAGTGAGGAAAAAGGCTGAACCAGGTTTGCCCACCTCCAATCTGACACCTTTAAACTCCTTTTAGATGTTTTCTACCTGGGTGGACAACTTTGTTGGAAAAATAGAGGCTGCAATACATCAGACTAGCCCTTGGACAGGGATGACCACCTATGTAAAACAGTTCACTGCTACCATTCATCATTCTCTTTCCTCACTCTTCTTCTCTCTACTATTTATCTCTACAATTCTAGCCATTCATTTTGAAGACTGATTGTGCCTCCACTATAGTCCAGACATTGTGGATACAGCAGTGAACTATACAGACAACAGCCCAGCCCTCACGGAGTTTTTGTTAGGTTGTTCCCATCTCTCCTACCAAAATCTGAGCTCCAGGAGGGCAGGACTCTGGTTTGCTTACTGCGTTATTTCCAGCTCCTAGAGCAGCCTCTGGTATATGGTATAAGAGACAGCAATGTTTGCCAGAGTTCCATCCTGACATCTTCAGCAATGGTGCAGGAAATGGGTTGAGCATTTCACCAAACTGATCTGATTCCTGTGCAGAGTTCCTTATGGTGCAGTCCCTCAGAGCTATCCTACAAATGACTATTGTATAAAAACTTAAATAAAATCTCTAAGACATTACATTATTTTTTAAATGTTCAAACAAAGAGTAGTTTGTCATCTTTAAGAGTTCATTTTCTGTGCAAAAAACCAAGTACAAGCTAGCCATAAGAAGGAAGTAATTCATATGAGCAAAAGGATTTAAAATAGATTTTTATTTGCAAAATTAAAAAAACAAAAACACCTAATCAGAATTGGGTTCCTTCTTCTTTCTTCTTGTCCCTTTTGAGTAAACCCCAGACTCCGTTCTTTCTTTGCTGTGTTCGGTTTGTTGTGTCAACCATTCTTTCTCCAGCTGCTTCAGCATGTCTGGAGTGAGGAGTCCCTGCTGCACCAACCTGGAAGCAAGGGATATCTCCCCAACATGGGGGTCAGGGGGCACAGCAGCTTTACTCCCTGCACTTTTGGTACTGCGTGTCCTTCTTGCTTGGCTCTTTAAGGTTCCTGACAAACATGACTGCTTCCCTGGTGGCAAGCCCTCCAAATTCAATAGCTTATGTGTCTCAGAAATTTTAATGAGTTTGGTGATGTTGTGCACACCATCTTGAATAATGGCATCTAGTTCTTTCTGGAGGTTTCGAACAAGACTGGCATCGGGAAACATATCCATAAACCGGTAGCTGTGAAAAGGACAAAATACATTATAGTAACAGCTCTGAACCAATCTCAACAACATACTTGCACGTTGACACTGGTTAATTTCAAAGTTCTCTATTTACAAAGTCTGTCCAAGTCTTTGCTCAACCTTTGTCCCTGCCCTGACACACCTGAGGAATATGTTAGTATGAGGATGGGCCAGTGCTCTACCTCGAGACTCTAATGTTCTCCAAGGGGAACACGCCCCTCCTTGGCCTTCTCAAATGCTAATGTCAAAGTGAACTGCTTGGGATCGTGTTAAAATGCAGACTCTAATTAAGTCTGAGGTGAGCCTATGATTCTTTAATTCTAAAAAGCTCCCAGGTGATACCAATGCTTTTGATTCAAGGACCACTCTGAGTAGCAAGGGTCTAGTGGTCCTTCCCACTTGGCTGTCTTAACAAGACCACAAGAACTCCTGAAGTTGTTTTTGGAATAAATTAGGCTTAAGTGCCTTTATGGAAAATAAACATAATTCAGAGCATGTTGCAAATATGCACCTAATTTGAGTGAACATAAAACCTCTGCTTTGGCCTATTGCCTAGAAAAATAAGAGCATATAAAGAAAGAAGTATGGTACCTTAGCCACAGATAAAGATCCAAGACATCATGGACAGCTTCAAGATCCATTAGGTCTTTAATATTCTTAGGTGGTAGTAAAGGCCATTTGATGTATCGGCGTAACCATGCAAAGGTCAGGGGCTCATTCCTGCTGTACTGCCTGGCAAACTGAGAGGAAAAGAAGAAAAGAGTGCAGTAAAAAAAACCCAGAAATTCCCTTAAACCTATGACTAGACAGAAAAAGAAAGGAAGTACAAGACAATGTTAACTGTGGCTATGTTTCAACAGGCAGGCTAGTTTCTTTCCCACTTGACACTTTTCTGTATTTTAAAAAACATTTAATACTTTATAAAGATATTTTTGCTTAAAAATAAAAAAAGATGAAGCTGCCAGGAGGTTTGGTGATAAACACTTGTAATCCCAGCTCTTGAGGGGCTGAAGCAAAAGAATCACAAATTTGAGGTCAGCCTGGATTACACAGTAAGACTCTGTCTCTTAAAAAAAAAAAAAAAAAAAAGACTTTCTTCTTTTTCAAAAGTCAGAGCAGCAATAATATGTGCATCAGAAGATGTACAAAGACTAACTTTTCTGTCTCTTAATTCTTATTTATGACTATGGGCAGGTAGTCCCCGAAGACTCCCATTTCTACCCCATCATATAACAGCCCCATAAGAGTTCTCTTTTCTTCTTCCTTAATATAAAGAAACTCTTTGAGGTGGCTTCCTGCAAAGCTGGTCATGAGTCAATCTTGACCACACCTCCTAGTGGTTGTAGCATTGGTCAAGCTGCCACTCTGCTTCAGCTTCTTATCAGTAACAGGAGACCCACACATCTCTCTTGAACCACAAGACACCATTGAGGAAATGTGCATGACAAACTTACTGTACCCCAGACAGTGTCAGGATCCATTACAGATCACCTAGACTACAGAAGATAGAAATGCAACTGCATAATAAGATCCCTCAAGCAAGAATTTAAGCCCTTTAATGTCAAGAAAAATCTGATTTCAAATGTTTCATTTCCTAATTAAAGAAAATTATCTCTAAATGCATAATCTAAGCAAGGTCGATACTTCAAGAGGCAGAGCCATTTTAGACCAATTATGGCTAAAGAACATTATGATGGTGTGCATTCTGTTAAGTTTAAGAAATGCCAATTTGGATAGCATGAAGGACAAAAAAATGACCATGCTACCTGCTAAGTAAGACATGCTAAGCCTGAGTTCTCAAGTTCTTCTATCAAAACAATGCTAACATTTTTGGCCACAAGTAACTAGTGGAAGCCCGATACATAAAAGAGCTAAGTAAGGAGCTGCCCAGAGCAGCCAGGGAGAGAGGCTCATCCATTCAGATACTTTCATACAGCAGAAGTGCTATGGAAGCTCTATGGAGCAGTTTCAAAACCACTGACCTAAGCAGCATACTCCCAATCAGCACAATTGAGCTCTTTATATAGTATAGGAATGATGGAGATCAAGAAAAAAGGAAAACCTCCAGATTTCACATCCTAATCTTTAAACAGAAGACATAGCAATTGTTGCCCTATGCTGTTCCAGAGACTCTTCACTCCTTAGTCAGAAGCTCCTGCCTCATTAGAATGGCTGCTTGTAGGACAGTGTAAATAGGGCCAAGGCCAGGGATGGGATCCAGCTCCAGTCAGCTCTGCTTATAGCAGCTAAAGACTGTTCCATAACCTTCAACCTTATCCTAGCTAACCCTCCACAGATGCCAGCTCCAAGAAATATATTTCTAGGTTAACACCTTGATACAGAAGATCTCTAAGACATATTGTTATGGGAAAAAGAAAGAATTATTAAGGTAACATTTACGGGAAAACAACAAAACTAGAATTCCTCCATGTATATGTATTCAGGCAGATGCAATGGAAAAGGTCTGCAAAGTTACATGTGAACTGGTAACAGCAGTTATTTCAGAGGGCTGACACTGGAATGGCAGCCAAATTTAACCTCTCTGTAATGTAAATGCAGTATTTATATAATTTAAAAAATAAATTCAGAAAAGATTTGACTAAAATATAGTATGCAGAATGCTAAGGCCTATAGAAGACATGGCAACAATGTGTCTTCAGAGGAGGCCTTTGGGTTTAGTGGCATGAGGAGAGCATGGCAAGCAGAGGTAACAAGACATGGAAGGGTCCAGAGAGATGGGAGAACAGCATGGGTCAGTTCAGTTCCAATCTACGCCCCCTCCCCAAAATCCTGTGCTCTTCACAAGTAAGAGATTCATATCCATATGCCAATGGGTGAAAAGAAACAATCTGGAATCTTGGCACTGCACTCTCACATTCAGCAGCCCTTGGCTCAGGGCCTCACAGTTAAGAAGACTGAATACTAGCCAGGTGCTGGTGGCTCATGCCTATAATTCTAGCTACTCAGGAAGCAGAGATCAGGAGGATAGCGGTTCGAAGCCAGACCAGGCAAATAGTTCTGCGAGAGCCTATCTTGAAAAACCCTTCACAAAAATAGGGGTGGTGGAGTGGCTCAAGTGAAGGCCCTGAGTTCAAGCCCCAGTACCACAGAAAGAAAAAAAAAGACTGCATACTATTGCCACTACTAAGCCCTAATTCTCTACCCTTTCAAATATTAACTGTCACTAACAAGAAAAAAGTGTATTCTTCAAAAATTTTTACACAATTATTTTTGTTTTAGCTTCTTCAAGTGGCCACTATATAATCTCAAAAACAAGGCAAGGGTTCCTACTTCTCTCAAAAATTATCTGTAAGAAAAAGAGTTACTTCATATTTAAGTTTTTACAAAGTCTCTCATTTATAGGATACCCTCCCAAATGTTTTATTTTGAATAACAAAATACTATTTGGAGAAAAAATGCATCAAAACAGCATAGAGAAAGAAAAAAGGCTTACCTGTAACAGTGAGGAGCAGACAAAAGGCTGCTTCTTGTTGATAGGGGCTGTGCAAAACACATACCTCACTCGCAGACTTAATGGAATATGCTGGATCAACTCTGCAGAAAATTTAAAATCATCCATATTGCAGACAAAATATTGCCCATCAACTTGTGAAAAGTCTACAAAAATATCCTGGAGGGAAAAGGATATATAAAGTTACTGGACTGCCTCACTGGACATGACTAAAGTACTCAAGTCTACAAAAGACAATCACTTCAATCCGTAACAGACTTCCAGAAACCTGCTTTATTCACTGCCTCCTGAAGTAAAGTGCTTTCCCCAAGGTCTTCACAACCTGAAATACTCAGAAAATTCCTCAGAATAAAAATCCCCAGAAGATATTTTTTGTACAGCATCTTGCTATGTAGGCCAGACTGACCTCAAATTCTTGATTCTCCTGCTTCCAGAGTTCAACTGCACAAAGGCAGAGTATCCATTCGTGCCCATGAAGTGAACCAGTTAAGTGTGTGGCATATCAACATTTTTAGAAGAGATTTAAAAAGTGAGTTTCCACTTACAATGAGATTAGAAAGTGTCGTCTCAGGGAGATGGTAGGCAAACATTTCAATCTGCTCAGCAGTTGGATGAAGACCAGCTGCCTTTAGTAAAAGTAAAAGAAAAAACAACCATGAGCTGATATTCTTTCCTCTTTCTTTGAAGGAAGTTGAAAAATAGAGATTTTTCTCTATTTTACCATTTACTGTCAATCAGAGAAGCTGATGAAATGATTTAATAAAAAGAAACAGGTTATATTAACTTAATAAACAATCATTTACTTATATTTTAGTCATATTTCCAAAACCTATTATGATTTGATGGGATACCAAAAGTACTTTCCAGAATAAAGTAATTTTCTAAGTCTCAATTTTCTGCCACTGAATAAAAATGAATGCAGAAACCCCAGTTGCATTAACCAGGGCAATAAAACTGACATACAATCACACATGAGAAAGGGTCTAGAGACACTTTTGAAGCTATCTCTTCACATATTGTAGTGTTAAGAAATGCTCTCAGATAAGTATAAGGAATGGAGATAGGGAGAAGGAGAATTGCATGTAAAAGAGCAAGAAGAAAGGAATTAGGTTCTAACAGAGGAAGGAAGAATATGAATACAAGAAATGAGGACATAGGAAAGAAAAAGTGTTAGTATCAACTGCACAGGAAGCTACCCATAAAGCTACCTGTATTCTTAACAAAAGCTACAGAAGTGATTTCCACTAGGGATTTTTCTTTTTTCATTATCTCACATATATTCCCATTTCCTAGTATTACTGGAAATGTAAGTAAATTTTCCAGGCAACTTGAAAGTATTTTTTGGTTAGTTTGTTTAAAATATGTACAATTCTGACTCAATAACTATGTTAACTAAAATTTAATGCTATCCTTATTGGCTTGAAAATGTACTGCTCAGTGCTAGTTTTCTTCTATATTCTATAGTCATAGCTGTGTGTCCATTTGAAGCAACTGTGTCCCTCCATCCTCACCTGCTAATAAAATTCTATGAAGAACTAAAGGAAAATCAGGCCAACTAAACTTGTTCAATCTGGATCTCTGACTTGTGACAATTCTCTAACCAAGGGGTCTCTATGCCTCTCCAAAACAATAAAGGAGAGCTTTCTTGATGTGGTTTTTACCACACAAATTTCTCTTGTGCTTATTTATGTTTGCAGATGTCTGATGCAAGTGTCTGGCTGGTAGGTGAGGGAAGGAATAACTGTCCTCCACACAGAAGTAATAAATGGTACACCTTACCCTTATAGGATCCACAGGCCTATTCAAAATTTCTTTTAATAAACTGAGGTCTTCATAATTCATCGTTGTAACCTCTCCTTCTTTAAACTGTGAGCTGAATCGACCAGCCCTGCCAGCAATCTGCAGGGCTTGAGAGGTGGTGATTGGTTCTATTTCTTTCTCCCCCTTTTCATTGATAGTAGGCTTTATAAGGGAGTAAAAAATAATTCTCCTTATGCTCCTGAAATAGAAATACAAGTGATCCCACAGACTGTACAAACAACCTACTCAGGTTACTACAGAAATGCTTACTCCCATTCTAACTTAGGCCCACTTGTAATCTTGCTGCCATTTAAAAAATAAGGGAAAGAGGTTTGCTGGTAATTCTTTTTCTTCCTCTCAAGCAGTATGCTTAAATAACTATGAATATTTACTAAAAATCACCAAACTCTACAGTTAAAATGGGTGAACCCTGTGGCATACAAATTATACCTTGATAAAGCTATAGAAAATGACTTTTTATAAATGACCCAAATAAAGTGTTCTCATATTGCTTTAAAAAGTGAGCTGCAGGATGGGCCATGGTGGTACAACCCTATAGTCCCAGTTACTCGGGAGGCTGAGACAGGATGATCCACTCAACCCAGAAGTTCAAGGCCAGCCTGGGCACACTGTGAGACTCCACCTCCAAAAACAAAAAGGGTTAGCTAAGTTGTTTAATAGTTTTCTGATTCATAAAGGATAGGATAGCTGCCTTCACAACCCAGTGTGGAACATTTAGGCTTAACATTGTTACCAGTAGAGATAATGGCTGGCCACACATGTATGATAGGCACGTGGATACCAGTGACTAAAAAAGTGAAAATAAAGTATGGTAATGACAGATAGTTCTTCTGCTACACATTTTCCTTTTTCTTAACAGGTATAAGCAAGATAAAACTCAAACCTATCCTATAAGTAAATCAAAATGTTTGATCATTAATGCCAATTAGAAAATTAAAAAACAAAAAATGGCCATATAACCCAGTGAATAGCCATGCTTATTAAAAACAAATTACTTACAAATTAAGTCCCATGCCAATTGCATCTGTAGCAACCAGGATTTTGCATGGATCATTGGGATCATTAAATTTTTTTGCTTGAGCAAGTTTGGTCCCTAAAATAGGAACAGTTTATGTTAAATCAGTGCCCTCCATTTTTTATTGCATCATGCTAAGCTTATCTTGGAGCCCCTCATCCCTGCCCTCTTCATTTTTATGGATAAATTTTTATTGTTTCTTTATATTCTCAAAGAGTCATTTATCCTTTACTTCTACTCCTTTAAACAACCTTTCATACAGCAACACAGCCCCCCAACATGCTAGTCTTATCATTTCTGAGGACACTTATTAGATTTCAGGCTACAGCTTGAACAATATTGCCAGGTTCATATTTTAATGACATTTCATAAGGAAATCATAAACTCAACATTTAAAATATAGTCTGAAAAAATATATAATCTAATAATAGCAGCATATAACAAGAGATATTAATACAATTAAGATATTTCTATTTTACTACCAGGTTAAGTAGAGAAATATTTATTTTATATGGCCTGTAACAAATTACCAATACATCAAGCAACTTAATTCATTATTTTTTTTTTACTATGTCTTCTATACATATTTCAAGATAAATGGCAAAAAATAAAGAGACTTCACATGATGAAAATCAGTAATTACCGGGTGGGAGACTGCCATAAATGACAGCGGATTCCAATCCCCGAATTTCAATCTGTCGACTCACAGAATAAATATCATTCTTGCTAAAACAGACAATGCAGTCCCCAGGCCGAAGGTTATCTAAAGATTCTAGTGCATGATCCAGCACAGAAATGGGGGTAAGCCTCTTATAGTTTTTAACCTACAATGAAGACATGAAATGGGAAAATATAAACTCAATTCAACTTTTTTGTGACTAATCACTAAGAAGCTTACAAAGCAATCAATTGTAACTAAAAACTGGTAAGTACCAAAATTTTTCAAGGTAAACACACAAACTTTATTATGATATTGTGTTACTACAGTTCTCACTGGCATTTCTAAATTAATGAAATGTCATACAGTGTTTCATACATTTTCAAAGCACTTTCACATACATTGATTTTTATGATAATGAAGCAACCTCAGAAAGGTTATTAACTGTTTTTCTATTTTCATGAAATGGTAAAACAGAGCCCAGTAAAAGATTAGGTCAGTGCCTACCAAGTACAAGGTCATGAGTTCAAACCCCAGTACTGCCCCACCACCAAAAAAAAATTTAGGTTAGACACTTTTTCCAGTTCCAGTCTTATAAGATTTGCCTCCAAACACAAAGCTAAAAAGACGAAAGCCTAAGAGTGGAATCCAGAATTTCTTCCAGTATATTCCCTTCCCTATCTGTCCCTGAAAGACGAGCATAAAACTGAAACAAGGGGCCAATTTAAAAATAATTCTTCATCTTATTACCTCATTGAAGAACTCTGGTAAAGAAAAAGAAGAGCAGTATTCAAAGGAAACCATTTACTTACTACTCTAGGAATTTGTGAAAGGGGTACAGATTGCCTGACTATTAGATGACTATCAAAGGCCTCAATAGGAAACACTGGGGTTTGAGCTGGGTTTCAAACTCATCAGTCCTGACTTACTTAATTCTAAAGAGATCTGCTCAAGTTCTAAAAGATTTGGTAAGGATGAAGACTCTTGGAAAACCTGGAGTGCTATGGCTACTCCATCAGAACTGCACATTGTATTGCTCATATATACATGCTACAAGAAAATGGAGCTTTCTTTTTAGTTCATTTCTGACTCTGTCACTGTTTAGGGCCTGTGAGGTCACTGCAAAGTACTTTGGCTATCTGATGTGCCCTTTGAGAATGAAGCATATAATCCAGTACCTCCACCTCCTCCCCAGTGGTGTACAGAAGCTCAGTGACTAGGTCAATAGCAGCAGATTCTCCACACAAATGGACTTCTTCAGCACAGAGTCCTGTAAATGCATAATTGGGATTCGTTTTTTTTAGAATTTCACAGATTTATAATATGCAACACTCACATAGCAAAAATACATTTGCTTGCCTATTATTTTACAACACTATCAAATGTTTTCACAAATATGGTCTCTTTGATGCAAACTCAAAACAACCACCACCTTCTAATGGGCAAAGATCATCCCCATTTTTACACATCTCAAGGCTCCTAAATTGCTCTGGCCAAGGTTTTAAATCTATTATAGGGTGAAGCCAGACAGGACTGAAGCCTGGCATTTGATGCTAAGTATTGAGCATTAATCCTATGTTTATGTTCTTTAAATTAGGCTCCAGAAAAATCACTGAGGTACGTCAGAAGTGGGAGCTCAAGGGCAAAATTAACTTCAAGTTCCTTATGCCTGACCAGATCCACTTTCTTTCTTTTTTTTTTTTTTTTTTTTTTTTTTTTGCGGTATTGGGGTTTGAACATCTTAAGCCACTCCACCAGCCCTTTTTGGTGATGAAGTTTTTTTAGATAGCGTCTTGCAAACTATCTGGGCTGGCTTCAAACCTCAATCCTCTGATCTTTGCCTCCTGAGTAGCTAGGATTACAGACGTGAGCCACAGTACCTGGCTCACTTTCATCTGTTTTATAACAGGCATCAATACAAGCTCTGTTTGAAAGAGACTTCGGTTATTGTTTTTAAACTTGAAAACACGTGTCCTATAATATGCTGAATTAAAAATTCACTCCAGCTATGCATGATAAAGCACACCTGTAAGTAATCCCAGCACTCAGAAGGCTGAGCTGAGGCAGAAGGATCTCAAGTTCGAGGCCAGTCTATGCTACATAGTGACATCTTGTCAAAAACAAAAAACACTCCAAAACCAAGCAATAGAAATGTTCATTCATATTTTTGGACTTCAACAACTCCACTTCCAAGACCTTACCCTAAAGAAATTATAAAAATAAAAGGGCCAAGCATGGTGGCAGAGATTGGGAGAATCACAGTTAGAGGCCAGCCCAGGCAAAAAGCTAGTGAGATCCCATCTCAATCAATAAGCTGGGCATGGTGGCTTGTGCTTGTGATCCCAGCTATGTGGTCAAAGAGCCCTGTCTGAGGCTGGCTCTGGGCAAAAGTAACTTAAAAAGCAAAAAAGGGCTGGGGGCATAGTTGAAATGGTAGAGCGCCTGCCTAGAAAGTGCAAGGCCCTGAGTTTAAACCCCAGTATGACCAAAAACATTAAAAAGGCCTCGCAGAGTGGCTCAACTGGTAGAGCACCTGCCTAGAAAGTGTGAGGCCCCGAGTTTAACCCTGCCTCCAGTACCGCCAAAAAAACCATAATTATATATTCTTGAAACACCACACCCATAAGAAAAAAGATTGGCACAAAACATTAATATGTATCATACTTACACAATGGTATTTTTTGATGTGCTGGGATTGAAACAGGGCTCTCACATGCTTAGTGAGTGCTTACCAGTAAGTTAACCCTCCTATACCCCCAACTCAAAGACTTGAACACTTTAACTTTATGCTACTTGTGTAACAGAAAAAAATAGACTTCTCATTATTCAGTATTTTTAAAATAAAAACTGACTTAAGTGATTTTTTTTTTTTTGATTGGGGATCTAACTGACTACTTGGCAGGATGAAACAACCAAATCTCAGTGCAAATGCCACAAAGTGCAGGTTTTATAGAATTAAGATACCAACCTAGAAGTGCTCTGGTCCACGCCCATCCTCTAGCTGGGTCTCTAATCATTTGAATTTCATCTATTACGGCCACTTCATCTGCAAACAAAAAAGTTATCATGAGCACTACAATCTACTTAAATGGTATTATAAACAAATTGTAACACCAAAATTTAAACTTTCATCACCACCACCACCATCATCGTCTACTGGCGCTTCTTTTCTATCAGGCTTCTTCTAAGTAGTTTATAATGGCATCTCCTTTAATTCTCACAGCAAACCTATGAGGTTAAATATTATTTTGACAGAAGAATAAACTGAGGCCCAAAGAAGTTAAGTTACTTGACGGGGTTAGATGCTAAGTGTCAGGATGAAATTCAAACCCAAGCTGTTAGCTCTAAGGCTCACACTCTAAGCCACTCTACTGGCTCTGCTCTGCCTCCCAAATAAGCACTCTCATTTCTCTAATTTTTTGCAACCTCAGACACAGCCTAGAATATAAGAACTTTGCATCTACATGACTGCAAACATGAAGCAAGTACGTTTGCTTCCAGGAACAAGACGGACACAATCCACCCTTCATTCACTGCTTAAGCTTTGTCGCTAAAGGAAACGGTCAGCTCTCAGGAGCAGACAGGCAAGTGGAAAGTATCATTCCTTCGGCCTCAGCTCTGTTCATTCTTAGGGGTTTTAAGCCCATAATGGTGTGAAAAAAATTAGTGCCTCACCTTATTTTTCTAATGCCAAAAAAGTCTCCAATCTTTATTTTGTTCTCTATAAGTTATATATTTTCTTCCCGAAAGTACCAAGGAATTGAAAAGAGAACATTAAAGAAAGCTAATTTTATACTGAAGAAAAATCAGATTACAATTATTTATATTTGGATATACACAAACAGCACTAGAAAAGAGGGTGCAGAGGAAGACATTTTGATTTGTAAGCTTGTGAAGTATTTGAATTTTTACAATATATTATTTTTATAATACATTCAACTTTTTAAAACTATTCATTTACTCAGAAAAATAGCTATAAAATTAAAAGAAAACCACCAATTAGTAAATAGTATATAATCCCTACTGTATTTACTATACATATCCACAATGCACACACTAGATACATAGGCAATATGAGAACTAATGTAGAAAAAGTCTGGAAAACATAGACCATAGAGTTAATTAACATTTGTTGGATAGGTGAGATTGGAAAATTACATCTATTTGTTTCCTTCTCTTTGCTTGCTTATATTTTTAAATTTTCGAAAATGAAGGTATTGCTTTCATAAAAAAAAAGTTAATTTTCATTTTAAATATTTTCCAAACTATTTAAATAGAAACTCACTGAGGGGCTGGGATGTAGCTCAGTGGTACAGCGCTTGCCTAGCATGCGTGAGGCCCTAGGTTCGATCCCAGCACCAAAAAAGAAAAGACAGAAAAATAAATAGAAACTCACTGGGCACTGTATATAACAAGGATTTTTTTTTTTTTTTTTTGGTGGTACTAGAGGTTTGAACTCAGGGCCTCACCCTTGTTAGTCGAGTGCTCTTAACACTTGAGCTATGCCTTCAGCCCAGGAAAATTTTTAAACAACCTAAATATTCTTTAGTGAGGAAGTGAATAATTTTTGTCACAAGAAAGAATACTATATAATAATTAAAATGAATGAACTTCAAATGTAGAGATATGGACATCTCAGCCATACTAGGTCTTAAAAACGTGTGGAGTTAACAAGTTGCACAAATGTAATAAAATGATAACCATATAAATGTTTTAAAACACAACGATCTATATTATTGATAGGTAATATGTACTAGTGATATAAAAGAGACAAAAAAGAAATGGGAGCAGTGGTTCACACCTGTAATCCCAGCTTCTCTGAAGGTGCATATCAGGAGGATCATGATTCCAGGCTAGTTCAGGCAAAAAAGTTAGCGAGACAGTATCTCAATCATTAAGCAGGGCATGGTAGTACACACCTGTGATCCTAGGTATGAGGGAAGCCGTAGGTAGGAGGATTACAGTCTGAAACTGGCCCTGGGCAAAAACACAAGACCCTATTTGAAAAAATAACTAAAGCAAAAAAGGGCTGGGGGCATGGCTCAAGTGTGAGGCCCTAAGTTTAAGCTCCAGTACTGAGAAAAAGAGAGGGAGAGAGGAAGAAAGAGAGAGAGAGAGAAAGAGAGAACACAAATATTCAGAAGTAAGCATGATAATGAATGTTTAGTATTTACGTATATGCTGTATTATTTTTTTTCTAGATGTTCAATGTTTTTTCATAACAAAACATACAAGATAAACTGTATTTTTAAAAACTATCAAGTCAGTTTCTCAAGTGACATATACATACAAGGGGTTGTAACACTGCACATCTCAACAGTGCAAGCAACATGGGCAGCTTGTCTTCCATCTAGTTCAACTGTTACCCTCTCTTCACCTGTCACCAAGTCACATGGCACACCCTAGAATGACAAAAAGAAATTTAGACTTATTTCTACCTTGAAAACAATAGCAAAAAGTAGTTTTGATATTTAAGAGAATAGTCTCTCCATTAACATTAAATTTAAGAGCTGAAATAAAGTATTCTCAATGCTTTTTTCTTTTTTATAAAAAACAAAAGAACAGCAACTTTCTTACATAACTTAGGTAAAACTGGAAACATCTCAAAGCAGTCAAATCCTCAAGTAATAGAAGCCTAAGAAACAGCAGCAGTTTCACTCTTTAACTTTGCACATTTCTTTGTGGTCAGAGTTAATAAAATGAACATGAATTGATTATATACTCAAGAACGCAATGAATAAAATTTAAGACTATAAAGACCTCTGAACATAATTCCTCAAGAAGAACCAACATCAATGCTATGGTAAATTAGGTGATTAACTATCCCAACTTGCCCAGAACTGGGGGGACTCCCCAGAATGAAGGCAGAAAGTCCTAAATCTGGGAAAGCCCAGACAAAGTCGGAGGGTTGGTCACCACCCCTAGCGTATGAATCTAATCATAAGGGAGCATCAGATATATCCAAACTGAGCAAGAGTTTACAGCACAAGTGACCGGCTGCCTTTCTAAAATATGAAGGTCAGAGAAACAAGGGAAGACTAAGGAGTTATCCCAGATTAATGGAAACTAGAGAAATGGTAATTAGGTACAGTGTGAAGCCTTGAATGGGATCCTGAGAGAGTGAGGGGGTGTAATTAATTATATAACTGATAAAATTTAAATATGGACTGTGTATTAAATAATAGTATTTTATCAATTAAATATCCTGCTTCAGATACATATCCTATGGTTATGTAAAAAAGTCTTTGTGCTGAGAGAAAACGTTCTCAAAAATTTATGATTATTTTAGGTATTGTACAAGCAAATTACTCAAATTATTTAAAAAACACAGAATTCAAATTACTTAACACAAACTGGTTAATCTCACATTATAAAGTCCTAATAAAACAGTGAGCCTAAACATGTCCCATTTAGTAAAATGATGCTTCAGACCATTCCATTCTAAAAAAGTGTCTTTACTTTTTATCATTACTTGTAGGTGATAGCATCAAAGTCTAACCTAAAAAGGGGGAAAAAATATCTTAACAGAGCACTGGTTTACTCTGAGTCAAAGGAGTTCCATGAAGTTTCAACTCATCAGTAATATTTTCTTTCTTAAAAAAGTAAATAAGGCAAGCTAGGATGTGATAGAGGTAGGTGATGGGTTCAAGGTTATTCATATGCTATTGTGTCTACATTTCTCTATATACATGAAATATTCCATAATATTTTATCTCACTCATTGTATTGTGTACATTTTTTCTCTTTGTTTTATTTGTTTTCCAAAACAGAGTCTCACTATTGTAGCTGAAGTGGCTGGAATCCCAGTCCTCTTTCCTCCACCCACTGAGTGCTGGGGATACAGGCATGTACCACCACACTAGGCTTCATTTTTTCACATTTCAGTGGTAGCATGTTCATTCAGCATTTCTCCCACCTCCCTCTCCCTCCCTCCCTCTCTTCCTCTCTCGGTTCCCCTTCCCTTCCTTCCTTCTTGACAGTACTGAGAGTTGAACTCAGGGCCTTAAGCTTGCTAGGCACATGCTCTACCACTTGAGCCACTCAGCCAGCCCTTCCTTTCTTAATTGTATACATAACAATGTTACATCTTATAATTAATAATTTTAGTGCAATGAAATATGGTAAATTTTTGTTGACAATAAATTACTACATATGGCTTTCTCCCACTTCTACTATCACCCCAGGTACAGAAAATTAGCAAGAAAAAAAGACCAAATATTTGGTAATATACTGACAGCAGTATTAGTCTTTTCGAAGATCTCATGTGCCAGTAATTTTAAAGGGCCACAATACACTCCAGACTTTGCTGACAAGTATTTCTGGATTGCATGGTAAGTCTTCCCACTGTTTGTAGGGCCAGAATGGAATATTATCTTCCTTTGTATGGCTCTGGCTTCTGGGTACCTAAAACATGAGTAGGTAAACAGCTTAATTCCATTAATCTCAAAATCCATCCTGACAGAGATATCAATTAAGAAAAATTCTAAATAAAATGTCTTCTTAATATTTACAAGATAGTCTTTGAAAAACTAAACAATAGGTTTGACATCTACATAAAAATAACTGACATCCAAGGCATTTACTAACTAGAGGACAGAAAACTCCAAATACAAATTAATGTCTTAGATATTTTCCCCATGGTACAAATCTCTTTTTCTCAGGAGTTACTAAAAATAACTTCAAGCTGCTATCAGTTCCACAGATATGTTCACATCATCTCCATGTTCTAAACAGAAAACCCTAAAAGCAAATATCCCTAGGCCTCTCTGCATTTTACTACATACAAATATAACAAGGACTCTTCTGTTTCTGCCATGAAGGACTAACTGATAATGAGCGGGCCTGCCCTACCACCATAAGCAAAACAAAAGTGGGCAAAATATATGCAGCAACTGTTTGGGCATGAACAAGAGGCAGTCTGCAGCCCCTGAAAGGGAACACTCAGATGAGACCTACTGCACCCCACCAGAGCACTGGGAGGTAGAACTCATGCATAGTACAATAGTCCCACTGAACAAAGCAGCAGACCATGCTCAGAGCTGCTGAAGCAGCTGGAATCTGACAGGCAGATGTGACAGCACAAAGGACTCAAGGATGGGGACCCCTGAAGTCTACGAGGGCCTGTGAGTTCTTGGACAAAAGCTTGCTGGACATCTGCAAGTGAGAACTGACAAGGCCTAGAGTAGAAGGGTCTGCCAAGGGTTTAAGCAGAAAGTTTCAAGAGGTCTTGAAGTGCTGGGAGACACTGCAGCTCCAGCCATGGTGGAAAGGACTCATAACACCCAGGCATAGACCTCACATGGGGCTACTTCAGCTCTGCCCTAATAAAATCTAAACCCAAGCTTGATCAGGATCCAGGAATCACCCCAGTGAACTGCCTGACACAATGACTACTACCTGTTTTTTCAGGGAAAACAACAAAATCCAGTCTTTATAATTTGTCATCTAGCATAGAGTAAAAAGATACAATAATCATTAGTTTCCCAATCCACGGATGAAGGAACTAACCAGTTAGGTGGTATTCTTAAGTCACTGATTTTGCGTAGATCATCCTTACACTCCAACACAGGAAATATTTGTTTGGCATGTCTCAAGAAAAATGGAAATAAATCATCCACATGAGCTGGAAAATAAGACACTGATTAACATGTACAATCTACATGTTATCCACAACTGAACTTGGTGGAACCTTATTTTTTTGGGGGGGGGTCTTTGTTATATACCCTAGGCTGACCTAGTCCCAGTGGCCCCAAACTCAGAAGCCTCTTGCCTCACTCAGCCTCCTGAGTGCTAGGGAAACCTTTTTTCTTAGTGAGGCACACTAGGGAGGCATTATCTGCATAAAAAGAAAAGATCCTGCTTTGTCTTCCTTTTTCCTCCAAATTTCACTTATTTTTCTGTAAAAACAGAAAACTGGCCACCAATCACTATGTTCTACTCTTTCAGTGCAACTAGGCAGAGATTAACATTGGTGAAAATTGAACTAAAAAAAAGAACCTAGACAAATACATTAGAGAGAAAGCCCACCATTACATGAAGAGAAATGAAAGTATAAACTTTTTTGTTTTCTTTTTGATGTGGGAGATTACACCCAGGGCCTTGTACATGCTCTACTATTGAGCTATGCCCCCAGCCCAGAGCAAGCATTTTTTTTAAATGTCAAAGGCCACAGAGAGCCAAACCATGAAAGTGAATTGGTGTGTGTATATATATATATATATATATATATATATACCAAACAGCCCATGGGAATAAAATGATGATGTTCTTACATTTTTTTTCTTTTATAGCAAAAATTTTATCCTGATATGAAGAAGAAGCCAGTGGAGAAGCAGATGGAATCTGCCATGTACTAATTTAGGTTGTGTAACAGCTCCTGTCACTGTGGCCAGTGTTCACATACAGCAGAGAGCAGACGATGATAGATGACTTAGTAACTGGTAACTAGCTGACCCAATATAAAAGCCATGTGGCCTACCAGGCCTCTCGGGAAAGGACTGAGCATGTATAGAGATGTTACTAGGACCTACTCTGAAACAAATAAGCCCTGATAGAGAAACAAACATGAAGTATGGGAAGAAACAAAAGTATATTCAACAGGATTTAAAATTTCTCTCAACACTTGCCTGCACTGAAGCAAATGTCATTCAAAACAATGTGAATGTCCACATCCAGGGAATGAGATTGCATAATATAATTCCTAAAGCTGATAAAAGCTTGGTGAAAGAGACGAGCTGTGAAAAACAAAAATCAAGATGCATAAGGCTTGGTTTTCATTTTAGTTCTCATTTTTAAATCACACATAAATACCACCCCAAGGTGACTTTTTTCAATTATTATTTTGGTAGTACCGCTGCACTAAAGCTGAAATCCTACTGCGACATGAAAGAAGGCTAAATGTGCTTCTCCCCTGCTGTGTGGTCTAGCTGTCAGGTGAGCCTTGACAGCCTCCTGACCCAGGAGAAGCCAAGGTCAGGGACTTCTCTCTTTACTACAACTGTGTATTTATTTCTAGGCTGCATAAGGCCCCACACAACACCAACAAATATGAGGATGATATTGGTCTTACCATCAAGTCCATAATCAGTGCCCAGTTTTTGAATTTCTTTCCTCTTATAAAAGTTGTCTAAGATCTTCTTTACTTCATCTAGAAGGTAGAAAAATGAAACATTTGTTTCCTAGTTTAGACAAAAGTCCAAAAAGCAAAAGAAACTTGAAAGTCATAACATTAAAACCAGCAGTCTACTGAGTGTTACAGGAACTTGAAGGTTTTAGTTCTCTCTATGGGTTACTGTGCAATGGAATGTCTAGAAAAATGATAAAGTCAAAAAATGCAATATTCCTTCTGCACTGCAGGGAATGGGCAAGTGCCATGGGCTCAGAGCTAAACTAGCTTTCCTAGGGCCACTTTTAGATAGCAAGCCCTGTTTCATTTGCTTATAATCATTCTGTGCATGAAGCAGTGAGCAGCTAAAAGCCACGCAAGAAAACAGCCAATATAGCTAGGACCAGATTATCATGCTTTTATGCAAATGACTAAAGGAACTCAGATTGGCTGGAGGTGTGGCTCAAGCGGTAGTGCCTGCCTACCAAGTGCAAGGTCAGTATGGCCAAAAAAACCCAAAAACCTTTGACAGGAGCTGGGATGATCTTTACCTTATAGATGATTGGACTGATTTTAGTGAGAGCATGTTACTTTTTTTTTTTTTTTGGTGGAGCTGGGGCTTGAACTCAGGGCTTCGTACTTACAAACAGGTTCTCTACCACTGGAACCACACCTCCATTTTGCTTGGTTATTTTGGAGATAGAGTCTCACAAACTATTTGTTTGACTGGCTATAAACGGTGATCCGATCTCAGCCTCCCAAATAGTTAGGGTCACAGGCATGAGCCACCAGCGCCTGGCTACATGTTACTCTTATTTTGTTCTAGATGACATAACTAATCAGTGTAAGAGGCAGACTTGAGTGGAATTTATAATAATCAGAACAGCAGAAAGGGGTTATCTCACAAAAGTGAGAGCTCCCTGTCACTGGATATATTCAAGCAAGGGTTAGATGGTTGAATTTTATGAGCTATAGCAGAGAAATTTGTACTGCAGGAGAGGCTGAATTAGATACCTGCTGAGCTGCCATCCTCTATGAATCAATCACCTTATAGTTAGAAATGTTTTAAAGTAAGCTGAGACTGTATTAAGGGCATAGGTGTTAAAATACTACTCTATTATTCTGTAGAGATATTTTACCGGCCTTGCCACATACTATGTATTCTGGGAAGAGAAGTCAAAGTTGATGACGAAGTCCTTGCCCATGAAACACAGAAAAGCCACGTGGCCTGCATTTTTACCTCCCACAAAAGCACTAACCACATTCTCCTGCAGTCCCAACACACTCAACACTCATTAAAGAAATTAAGCCTGAATATAGCATCCCCCCAAAAAAATCTTTGTTATATATAATGAAATCACAAAATTGACAGTTTAGCCACTAGGTTTGCCTACAAGTAAATAGGACATAGACACACACATCTCAGATCACAAGCAGCTATCCTGGTAATTTTGGGTTTCTGTTAGCTTGTACCTAGTGAGGGCAACAGTCTCTTTATATCAATAGCAGGAAAATCAGTGACAAAAGATTGAGAAACAGCATGTGCAGTTAATTACTTGAGAAAAGTTCTACTGACCTATATTCAACATAAAGGAAAGACAGATCACATTTATTAGAACTAACCCTGGGTTCTGTGACTAACGCTCCAGTGTAAAGTGAGAATCATAGCTTACTCAACTTAAAATGCTTCAATGATTTTGGGGGAGTTCAGTTTTCTGAGATCCTTGTATATTCTGGTTATCAGTCCTTTGTCTGATGTACAGCCAGCGAATACATCAGTAGGAGAATATCTTCTCCCACTCTGTGGGTGGTCTCCAGTTTACGACCATTTCTTTTGTTGTGCAGAAGCTTTTTAATTTCATGTAGTCCCATTTGTCCACCCTTTCTCTTAGTTGCTGGGCTGCTGAAGTTTTATGACAAAGTCCTTGCCTATACCCACTGCTTCCAGAGTATTCCCTGCTCTTTCCTGTATTAACTTCAGAGTTTCAGGTCTGATATTAAGGTCCTTAATCCACTTTGAGTTGAACTAGTGCAGGGTGATAGACATGGATCTAGATTCAGTTTTCTGCAGGCAGATAACCACTTTGCCCAGCAATATTTGTTGAAGAAGCTGGCTTTTCTCCATCATATGTTTTTGGCACCTTTGTCAAAAAAAAGGTGGGCATAGCAGTGTGGATTCATATCCAGATCCTCTATTCTGTTTCACTGGTCTTCACATCTGTTTTTGTGCCAGTACTATGCTGTTTTTATTGCTATGGCTCGGTAATATAGTTTGAAGTCAGGTATTGTGACACCTCCAGCATTGCTTTTTTTGCTGAGTATTGCCTTGGCTATTTGCGGTCTCTTGTGTTTCCAAATGAACTTTAGGGTAGATTTTTCAACCTCTGTGATGAATGTCATTGGGATTTTGATGGGAATTGCGCTGAACATGTAGACTGCTTTTGGTAGTATAGCCATTTTAACTATGTTGATTCTACAATCCATACGCATGGGAGATCTTTCCATCTTCTGTAGTCTTCCTCAGTCTCTTTCTTCAGAGGTTTGTAGTTCTCCTTGTAGAGGTCATTCACATCCTTTGTTAAGTTTATTCCTAGGTATTTGATTTTTTTTTAGGCTATTATAAATGGAATTTTTATCACATATTCTTTCTCAATTTGTTCATTGTTGGTGTATAGAAAAGCTAATGATTTTTGTAAGCTGATTTTGTATCCTGCCACATTGCTGAAGCTATTTATGGTATCTAGGAATTTTGGGGTAGAGTTTTTTTGGTCTTTGAGGTATAGGATCATGTCGTCTGCAAATAGGGATACTTTGACAGTTTGTTTTATCTATTTGTATTCCTTTTATTACTTCTTGCCTTATTGCTCTGGCTAGAAATTCCAGGACTATGTTGAATAGAAGTGAGGAGAGTGGACACCCTTAAAGAAGTGGGCAACTGAACTAATTCTCAAAGGAAGAAATCCAAATGGCCAAAAAAACACATGAAAAAATGCTCACCATCCCTGGCCATTAAAGAAATGCAAATCAAAACCACACTAGATTCCACCTCACTCCTGTTAGAATAGCCATCATCAAAAACACCAACAACAAAAAATGTTGGCGAGGACACGGGGGAAAAAGGAACCCTCATACACTGCTGGTGGAAATGCAAGTTAGTACAACCACTTTGGAAAACAATATGGAGGTTTCTTTAAAAACTAAACATAGATCTGCCATATGATCCAGCAATCCCACTCCTAGGGTTATACCCAAATGAATGCGACTTGGGTTATTACAAAGGCACTTGCACACCCATGTTTATTGCAGCGCTACTCGCAATAGCTGAGTTATGGAAACAGCCAAGATGCCTCACTATCGACAAATGGATTAAGAAAATGTGGTATTTATACACAATGGAATTTTACTCAGCCACAAAGAAGGATGAAATTTTGTCATTCACAAGTAAATGGATGGAAATGGAGAATATCATCTTAAGCAAAGTTATCCATGCTCAGAAGGCCAAAAATCGTATGTTCTCCCTCATATGCAGAATTTAGACCTAAAACAAACACAGTAATATTATTGGACATGGGTCCGACACTAAGGGGAGAACATGTATAGGAGGAATAGGGAAAGGGAAGAAAACTTAAAACTTGAAAGTGTTTGATGTGCCCACTGTAGAGGAGTGAATAATCTTAAGCCGACAGAGGCCACTATGGGAAGGTGACCAGGTAGTGAAGAGGTCAGATAGAGATGAACCAATTCGGGCTGTAACACACATGTACATGGTAGCCATGCTAGGAATCTCTGTGTATAGCTATCCTTATCTCAAGTGAGCAAATATGCTATGTATTTCTTATTATCTCTTATGTTTTCTCTTCAACAAAACTGGGTAAGAGGGTAGAACAAGTTCTGCCTGGAAGCGAGAGGGGTGGTGGTGGGGGGAACGGGGGTAGAGATGGCCCAAACAATGTATGCACATATGAATAGATGAATAAACAATAAAAAAATGCTTCAAAAATGTGATGTTTCTCAAAATGCTTAGTGAAAGAAACCAATCACAAAAGATCACATATTATATAACATAATTTATATGAAATATACAAAAAAGACAAATCTACAGAGGCAGAATGTAGATTAATGGTTACTTGGGACCCCTCAGAGGAGATAGGGGAGTAGAAGAATTTAAAGTGAATGCTAAAATAGTTTCTGCTGGGTATTGAGGGGGGGGAGCGGGAGGGGGTGGAGTGGGTGGTAAGGGAGGGGGTGGGGGCAGGGGGGAGAAATGAACCAAGCCTTGTATGCACATATGAATAATAAAAGAAAAATGAAAAAATAAATAAATAAATAAATAAAGTGAATGCTAAACCAGGAGTGGTAGCACACACGTGTAATCCCAGCACTCAGAAGAATGAAGTGAGAGGATTGCAAGTTTGAGACTTGCCTGGGTTACACGGCAAGACCATATTTCAAAAATCAAACTAATGAGGGAGGGAGAGAGGAAGGGAAAAAGGAAGAAAAGTGACTGCTTAGCAGACGCCAGGTTTCTTTTGGGGGTGATGAAAATGTTCTACAATGAAATTATGGTGTAAGTGTATAACCCTGCAAATGCACTAAAAGCTTTGGGATATGTAAATTATATCTATTAAGCTATTTTAATAAACCTTTATTCACAAAAAGTGAGATTTCTCCCTATCAATACTTTATCTAACATGATCGATTATTTTTTAGAAAGTAAATGTAAAAACATTAATGCAAGGGAAATAGCACAAAAAAAAGGGAAATGTACTACAGAAGTATATGGAAACACATTTTGTTTTTCATCAAAATTAAGCTTTGGGGCTGGTGATGTGGCTCAGTGGCCCAGCACTTGCCTAGCGTGCAAGAGACTCTGGGTTCCATCTCTAGCACCACAGAATCAATCAACCAACGAATCAACAAATAATTTTTAAAAATTAAACTTCAGGAACTTTAGGAACACTTTCATTGTTCCTAAAAATCAAAAAACTGAATGAGCCACGCATGGTGGTACATGTCTTGTAATCCTGGCTACTTGAGATGCA